TCAAATCGGGTCTAACGGGACACTTTGAAACGTATATAAAAAAGATAAGGACGATGACGAAGAAGATGATGATGAACACCAACTGACATGATAATCATCATGACGCATCCTCAGCATCACCAGCAGTCATCATGATAATCATGCCCGCGCATCTTCTGCATCTCAAATCGGGTCTAACGGGACACTTGAAACGTATATAAAAAAAGATAAGGACGATGACGAAGAAGATGATGATGATAAGCACCTTGATGATGCTCATGATGATGATGATGAACTGACATGACAATCATCATGACGCATCCTCAGCATCACCAGCAGTCATCATGATAATCATGTCCACGCATCTTCTGCATCTCAAATCGGGTCTAACGGGACACTTGAAACGTATGTAAAAAAAAGATAAGGACGATGACGAAGAAGATGATGATGATGAACACCAACTGACATGATAATCATCATGACGCATCCTCAGCATCACCAGCACTCATCATCATAATCATGTCCGCGCATCTTCTGCATCTCAAATCGGGTCAAACGGGACACTTGAAACGTAGATAAAAAATATAAGGACGACGACGAAGAAGATGATGATGATAAGCACCGTGATTAGGGGCGTCCACAGTCCATGCTCCATGTCAACTCCGCGATTCCTGAATTCCTTCGAGGAATGCACCCTGGGTTAAAAGCAAAGGATCTTCTATAATTTCACGTTTTCGACCAAATAGGCCCGACTTGGGGCCATGTAGGGGCCTCCACAGTCCATGCTCCATGTCAACTCCGCGGAATCTAGCTAAGCAGTGCCATCGTGTGAAAGCCAGCGACCCTGTTCGAAAGTGAGTTTTTGATGGAAGTGGAGAGGACTGGGGGCCTAGGCCTTCGACCGTGTTACAATGAGATAAGGACAGCGGCGACGACCGCCACGCCGATGATTATGATGATGATGATGATGATGTTGAATCTTCGGTTATGCTCATTTACCAGCCAGCCTTGGACTTGTAACCGCCCTTCCCGTACGCCTCCCCCTTTGAGGAGAAGGGGTCGGCGGATATTGGAGAATAAAGCAATTTGTAGAACAAAATAAGCACAACAAAGTTAGAATAGCAACAGGAGACACCAAGCAATGAAAACCAGTTCAAGAGATAACAAACACTCGAGACTATGAATTATTTGCTGATAGTATTATAGTTAACCTTTTTGAATATAATATTTTGTTAAGCGACTTAACACACAGGAAGATAAAGATAAACTAAGAAATCTTAAAATTGATATTTTTGGAAAAATAATTATTATGAAAGTTATTGAAAAATACTTTGAATATACAAATGAGACCAGCAAATCTATCAACAACATAGCATTTTTAAATACAACTTGTAAACATGTGTCAAATGAAATTAGAAAATTAGAAAATAGAAAAGATGAATATGAAGTAGGAGAATTTTTAACTTGTAGAGAATATACAACAACTAAAACATCAGTTTTGAATGTAAACTACAAATATAAAATTGTTCATATTGGAAGCGATGGAATTTTTGCGGTGAAAAGTGTTAAAACTGAAATTCTACAGTCTTTGCCAGTTGATAAAACAAGCAGTAATTTTATATTTGCATGTTGCTCGACTTGTCATTCTGCCCAAGGCAGTAGCATTGATGATACCATAACGATTATAACCATTTTTGGTACAGAATTGTCCAGAATGGATATGGACAGCAATTACAAGGTGTAGAGATTTACACAAAGTCAAATTTATAAATATGCGAAAGATATTGATGATGTATTTGACCAAAAATGAAAATATTGAATTACAAAGAACCAGACAGGAAAGCCAAAAGAACAATACCTAAAGAAGGTTATGTAAATGCGCAATGGTTTTTAAATAATATCACTAGTCAATGTAATGACTGCGGATGCGGTTTTTCTATGGATATTAAAAACGGTAATATAATGACAAATCTGACAGCGCAACGTAAATCAAACGAGTTGTCGCACGAACTGAATAATATTATTCCTCACTGTGTTAGGTGCAATTGTAGTTGCAAACCGCTGAACCTTCACTCTCCCCCAGCTCCATGCTATATGCGCTATATGTACCATATGGACGCCAACTGCTATATGTACTATATGTACTATATGGACGCCAACCCGCTGAACCTCCACTCTCCCCCAGCTCCATGCTATATGTGCTATATGTACTATATGGACGCCAACCCGCTGAACCTCCACTCTCCCCCAGCTCCATGCTATATGTACTATATGTGCTATATGGACGCCAACCCGCTGAACCTCCACTCTCCCCCAGCTCCATGCTATATGTGCTATATGTACTATATGGACGCCAACCCGCTGAACCTCCACTCTCCCCCAGCTCCATGCTTGTGTACATACTTAACCAACATATAGGTGTTTATGCTGACTACTTGGCCACACACATGAAATCTTATACTGTGTGTGCTGTATGGCCTGTATACTTACATATAGTGTATAGTAGGAACAGGGAGAGTGGAGAGGTTCAGCAGACTGAGAAGCCGTATGTATATGTCCCGTATAGCATGGAACAAATTAGTGCATGAAAGTGGAGCTTGGGAGTGGAGGTTCAACAATTGCCCTCCGTATATTTTGTATACTTACGTATACTAAAAAAAAGATATGGGGCCCATAATTGAATTTTCTTAATGGAATAGTTCATAATATTGTTGATTATGCTTTGGATGAAGAAGATGTATGTAGAATTTGTAGAAATTGGAGATATTATCAAGAATCAATCAAATGTCATTTGAAGATGACATCTTAATATTTCTTGTTGTTTACGATACCCCACCTCATGATTATGTTTAGCAGTTTCTTAAAAACAGTAAGAAAAGTATGTATTGTATATTATAGATGTTAGTAAATCGCAGAATGGAAAGGTTTGATGTAAATGAAGACATTAATTCGTATATTGAAAGTGAAAAGTTTAATGTTAAAAATACAGCAAGAGATGTTAATATTATTTGAAAAATGATGTATGAAAGAAGTAAGATGTATCAGTTAAATGATTTCCCTGTACTGAAATTATAAGCATACTATAATAAAAACATGTACAATATTACATGTTATAATTATATTTCAATATTCAATTTTATTTCTTGTAAAAATGTAGTTAAAGAAATACAAACTATATATTATAGTGGAAGTGTTATTGAATTATTCAAAGTGCGAATGTTGTAAACCTAAAAGGAATGATGTTAATATAACATTGTATAAGTTATTACCCGCGAATCTATGTAATAAAATGAGTGAACATGACGTATATTGTAAATCAATGCTGTATAACAAGAGACCTTGAAAAGTTTTTTGTTGAGGAACATAAGGATAATGGATATACAAAGTTTCAATTACAATTAAAATTCTTTATGCAATACCAAGCAAGATTTCCTAGACACTTTTCCCATAAGATTTCCAGAAAGTCAGTTCTATGAGGTTTGGAGGAGAACTAACAATTTAACCGTATACATCATTTGTTAAAAATTTTCGAGATATGTTTGCATTGATTGACTGGCATGTATTAAGTAAAGATAAAATAAACGAGGCCTTAAAAGAATTTAGAGCAACTAAATATAGTATATGGTAGGTATTACTACAACACTAGCTATAAAGTATGTCTATTGTTGTATATATTCTTTTGGGAATACGTTTATGCTATAATTGGAAAGGAACAAATTCAGGATTAAACAACTCGTTGTGCAAGTAACAATTGAAGCACGCTTGGGAGGAGGCATCTCCATCATGCTAGATTGAGGCTCGAGGGCCACAGCTGCATGTGTGAGATTTGAGATTTTTTGTTTTTAGCACTACTGCGACCGGCCGTCTACTTGGCTGGGCGCACTGGCGAGAACTCATGGAGCTGTATCTTGTGCACAAGATACCGCTGAGATCATGGCCAACTCTCGAAAACCAGACTGCGCGGGCGGGTGGGGGGGACAAGCGATTGCGAAGATTGTTGGATTAAACAACTCGTTGCGCAAGTAACAATCAAAGCACGCTTGGGAGGAGGCATCTCCATCATGCTAGATTGAGGCTCGAGGGCCACAGCTGCATGTGTGAGACTTGAGATTTTTCCCACCCTCCCATACCCCCTTTTGCATATCTGTGGCCTGGTGCGTTGTTGGGAGCTATCACTGATAGTTCCAGCTCGAGTGAGAGTAGCTGCAACAGCAGCAACAGCAGCAGGATCGGTTGCTGAAAGCAGCCAAGCCACAAGATACCGCTGAGATCATGGCCAACTCTCGAAAACCAGACAGCGCGGGCGGGTGGGGGACAAGCGATTGCGAAGACTGTTATACATAGATGTGGATGATATAGGTAAATATGTAGATTACATATTTGAAGATATGTTGCCCGACTATTATTTTAACCCATAATGATTAACACCAGACTACGATTATAACATTTATACCCTTATATGTTCTAATTATAATGTAAGTATAGCGTTTTATATACTGAAGATAAAATCCTACAAGGGACACCACGCGCAACTTCGGAATATCCAAATGTTGAAATTGATGAATTATTAAGTCTTCTCAGTGAAGTATTGAAAATGTTGTTTCTTATTGAATAATTCTTCGATAATGCTATATATATTTATCTCTTTTGAAAATATATATTTTGTAAATATGTTGGAAAAGATGCGTTTTTGAACATATAAATGTTTAGGTGTATTGATTTTTCCAAAAAATAGTTCATTTTTCGTTTTGGTATGTTGTAATAAAAAAATATTTATCAAAATGTGTTTAGACTGTTTCAGGCTGTTTTGGGACGCTTATTCAAAAAATGCAAAAAACCTAGGGTGGACCCTGGACTTTTGAGTTCTAAAAAAATTGCGCATGGCCAGACCTAACTACAGGTGGGGTTTGCGCGTCGGCCGCCACTCTCTTCTGTTTTCGTTTCTTTTTTCTTTCTGTTGTTTTCTACTTTTCTTGGTTGTCCCAGTTTTGTGTTTGGACCTTGACTGAGTTTCTGGCAAGGCTGCACCTCTTCTCGGAGATGAGGGAGGCACAGGCGACGGGATTTGCGCATTGCGAAACTGCGAAGCACAGCGGCAGTCAGCGGCATGCGTAGCTTAGAGAGGCTTAGACAAATAGAGGCTCATTGCGTCCGTCCGGAGGTGCGGCGGGACTCCGTGTGCTTCAGCGTGGCTATGGGCGCCTGCGAGAAGGCAGCAAATCCCCTGCGAAACTTGAGAAGTCAAAGGAATGCGAAAGGCCAGCGAATGGATGAAAGCTGTGGAGCTCTTTGAGGACCGCTTCATGCATTTCATGTTGCTTTGTCCATGCTTTCGAAAGTCATTCCCAGACTTTGAGGCCATGCACGGGCAGCGACTGCGGCGGGACGTGGTCATCTTTGGGAACGCCATGTGCGTGCGGCTCTCAGCACGTGGCTCTGTGACGCGGTGAGAGTGGCTAGCGAGGCCATGACCAGGGCTGGGGCCGTGGACGGAGCGCTGAGCCTGTTGGGCGTCATGCAGGCTGAGGACGGACCAACAAATTGAAGCAATCGCTTCACATTCAGTGCGCAAATGAAGCACAATGGGCATGATGAGCATGAGCATACAGACATTGGAAGGAGGTCGCGCTGGACACCGTGGTCTGCAACAGCTGCCTCAGCGCCTGTGCCAATGCTGCGCGCTGGGAGGCGCATCAGTGGGAGGTGTCACGGCCCCGGAGCTTGTGATTCTGGCACTCAGGAGGCGCTCCAACTGGCACGGGCCTCAGCATGCAGAGTCTGCTCATTCCGTTGAGAGAGCGAATCAGTGAACACGCGCGTAGCTCGATTCGAAATGCGCGCAGAACGTGCGCCTTACGATCAGATCGCTCGGCGTCCGGGCAGGTGGGTCTCATGACGGAGCGCCGGCTGGCCAAGACCACGGCCACATGCTGCCCGGTCAAAGTCGGTTCGGCTGTTCAAGGATGTTGGCGCTTGGTTGTTCCCGAATGCGTAGCGAAGGGTTCCCGTTTATAAGTGGGGTCTGGTGTTCGCGAGGAGTTGCTCCAGAGTTCGCAACCGTTCTAGCCGTTCGCAACCGTCCGCACCCAGACTCTGGCTTATTGAAAAGATTCAATAATTTTGGCATGTTTCAATAGTGGGCCTTCATTTCAATAAGAAGCACTGTTTTTATTGAAACAGCATGTGCGAAGGTTATTGGTTTGTAAGTTACATTTCAACAGCAGGTATTATTGGTTTGCAAGCCCATTTCAATAAGACCAGATAGCTGTTCCAGCCCCTAAACATTCCCCAGCCCATGCCCAAACCCATGCCACAGACGAACCCACTTTGTGGCTCTATGTTGTTTTGATGGAAACTCCATGAAACTACCATATAAGGGAACAAGCCTGGATCTTTGGGCCTGCCATGCCAGGGGTTCATCAAGGCAGCCACTGACAAGAAATGAAGCTGCGCCCAGCTTAGATCGAGTGCCAAATCGACTTTCACAAGTTCACAAAGCGGTTGCTTTCGCAAAAAGCTATTGAAAGGCAGAAGCCCTTGTGCAGGGCCTCTCAGCGCACAGCAGCTCGCTCCAACTTTTCACTCTACATCTTCTCCCTCCTGGTCAACCTCCAGCAGACCTTCTCAGGCACAATGTGCCCAGGAGTGCCATTTAGGCAAGCGTGCGTCAGGGATGCCATGAAGCCCACCATGGTTTCACCAGTAGGTGGTGACATACTTGGGGTTAAGGAACTGGGCTTGGTCAGCCATGTGGGCAAGCAAGTGGTGCTTGTGCACAACATTCCATTGCAGCAGGCCCTGCTCCATGCACATCTTGCTGCATCTCACATAATGTTGCAGGAAAATGTCAGTGTGATTCTTGAAAGCTAAACACTCCTTCCGGGGCAGGTGCATGTGCCCAGAATCTATTATGTCAGAAACTGCTGCCAAGTTCTGGAGGCAGCGCAGCCTTTGCATGGTGTATGGCGCCATCTCGTCTGCATGCTGCTGGCAGAGCTCTACCACACATGGAACCAAGTACCTGATGTGCCTGGCCTTGAAGCCACTGAGATCAGGAAAAGTTGCTCAAGGTCAGCTTGGGGATCCTGTTGGAAGATGGTATGCCAAGCTCTTCATACTGCTTCAGGATCTTGTGGAACAAGGCTTTGAGCCTGGCTTCCTGCACGCCAGCCCACCCAGGCTTGATCACCCAATCGAAGAAGCAGTTTGCAATTGCATGGGCGGCAACGCCTTCCTCAATGATGTGCAGGAGTCATAAGCAAAAGTTTCCCCAACAACACCAGGAATTTTGGAAATCACATGGCTTGTGGGGCACTTGCCTTTGTGCTTGGTGACAGTCTTTCTCCAGGCTGCGCTGGCCCTGAAGTCATTGTAAGGTATGTCTGACCTGTTGGCCTGGCAATTGAAGCAGCACTCGTTGGAGCTTGCACCTTTCAACTTGTATTCATTTTGGAACCACTCGCCATCTCCAGTCATAGCAAAGACACAGGCACTGAAGCCATTGGCAGATAGCGGCTGCCCTGCCAGGTCTGCCCTCTTGGAATTTGGGGGCCACTTGTTCCCGTTGTGGTCCTTCTCAGGGTGCTTATTGTACAGCATGAAGCTGAAGCTCCACTTCAGAATTGACCAAATGTGGTGCATGGTGTTCTCGTCATCACCACCATCCAACATGGAGCAGTACTTTGGGATTGCTGCCAGCAGTAGCTGGCTGTGTGCCACATTTGCAGAAGACAGCAGGCTCCTCATGCTGATGACAGTGATGGAATCATGCCTTTGAAAAGCACCACCATCGCCATGCACAGCCATGGGGAGGCAATGTGTCAAATCCACCTTGCTGAGCGGATTGTTGATGAGCTTGGGATCACTCATATCATGGTCTGACCAGAAGCCATGGGCGTGGCCAAAGCCAGCCACAAGCTCTTGAGCATCCTCATCCAGAGCAGGCCCCCCCATCCAAGCAAGCCAGTCATGTGGCAAAAACAAAGCGATGGGTTTCAGTTGCACAGACACATTGCAGTCCACATTGCTCTTCACCAGCACTGGCACATCAGCTATGTATGGGCTTGGCAGGTGGTAGCTGCTTGTCTTGCAGTACTTCAATGTGATCTGCTCAGCAATATGCTGTGGCTGCCTTCCAAAATTGCCCAAGCTGGCTAGCTCCACAATGTCAGCGCCAGTTGCCCCAGATTTGGTAGCAGCCAGGGCAACGCTTTGAATGGAAGGCCCCTGGGCTGCCACAGGCTCAACGCCAAACAAACGAAGCCACACAGGAAAGCCCACCAAAGCTGAACAAATAGCATACCCTGACCATATCAGGCCTGCAGCCAAGGTGCAGAAACTCCATTTGCAAACTGCTCTAGCAGGCAAGCAGCCAACGGGCTTAGTTCCTCAACAGGCTGCTGCTCTTGCATGACCTCATACTTCTTTCCACTTTGCCATTGCTTTGCAAAAGGGAATGGGAGCTTGCAGGCAGGGGCCTGCTGTTTGGAGCCAAAATTCCAGGATGCCAAGGTGAAATGGGGTAGCTGCAAGCCACCTGCCCCAAGCTTGTCAACATAGACTGGGGGAAACAGCTGCGGCCCTGGGGGGGGCGGGGGGGGGCTACCCAACACGGCTTTTTCCTTGCCACCAGCCACTCAAAGCAACCAAGAAATGCACATGAAAACTGCTTGGAACTTGCTCGAGCAGAGCTGGTTCCTACTGTTACTTCTTCTTCGCTTGCTGTTTGCTTTGGCGTGCTTCAGCCTGCTCTTGACCTTCACAGAAACTCCCTGCATCACTGCTGCAGCAAGAAAAGCGAAAAGCTGCCAGCAAACTTCTGCAAGTCAAACCGAACCTCTTTGAGTTTCCCTGCTTCCCAGCGCAATTCACAAGTGCACATGCCCCCCTCCCCATGGCCCACAGCGCGTGCAGCATTGTGAAAACATTGCAAGAACAAACAGGGGTTCCCCCAGGATGCTTTTTGAGCTCAACAGGCTTTTAAGTGTCAACATAGGAAACTGGCGGGCCAGCCAGCTACACTGCACACTCTGAAGCTTGAAAACTGCCCAACAGCAATCCTGCCCCCCAATATTTGCGCGCAACAGCTGGCAAACCCAAATCTGCAGTCTGCACGTTTTCTCCTTGTGTCCCTGCCTTGTGCTCAAAAAATCTTTGCCATGCAAGTGATGGCAATTAATGCCCCTGAGCTGCTAGAGCCCCTAAGCCTTCCTACTTCTGAGCCGACCGAAACTTCTTGTACTTCTTCACTGCCACGGAGGATGCCCTTGACAGCCTCCATGGAAGTCTTCTTTTTCTCAAACTTCTCCAGCTCCTTGAGGGGGCCGCTGAGGATGGCCACCTGGTCACGGCTGCCTTCTTTTTTCAATTTCAGCAGCAGCTTCTTCATCCTGTTAATCCTCGTGCCTGTCTCACTCTTTGCCATGCCCGATGATGACAAGATCTCAGCCTCAGCTTCCTCAGGGTCTTCCTTCTCTTGGCCTGGGATGCCTTGGCTCTCATCATCGTCTTCATCCAGGCTGCCCCTGTCCTGGCTTGAGTTGCTTGGTAAGGCTCTTCCCAAGGTTCCTGGAAATGGCTGCCTTGGCTGAATCGCCCTCATCAGTCCCTCCAATGCTCTTGGCCTTCAACTCCAAGCCTCCATCTTACCAGCTTTGCTGCCTTCATAGGTGTGGCTGTGGCTGGTGTCTTCATAGCTGGTGGCCTTGTTGAGTTTGAACTCCCACTCATCATTCCTGCAAGCAATTGTCCCTTTATGGATCCTCCTCATCAGCTCCTGCAATCCATACTGCCTTCATCTTATTGAAAGGCACCCAGCTTGACTCCTTCCTCTCCCCAGAAGTCTTTGACAAGGCCACCAGCTCCTTCATGTAGTGGCTGCACCCCTTCAAGGTCCCATTCTTGAGGAAGGCCCCCAGCAGCTTCTTCTTGGGCTCCAGGCTGCCAGGCCTGGAGCCCCTGGCATGAGCAAATCTCTGCCAAAGCGCCTCCCTCTGGTCCTTGGATAGGCTCTTTAGAAAGGCGCCCACATCATCGCCCTTCCTCTTCCTGAAAAGCCCAATCTTTGCCTCCAGGGACATGCCTTCCTCTTTGGGGGGATCAAAAGGTAGAGAGGCAGGCTTCTTGAATGGCTTTGGCTCTTTGACAGGCTTGGCCTGCTTCTGGTTGGCATCCTTCTTGAGCTTAGGGGCACTCTTCTTCATCACCTTCTTGGCCATTGCCAGCCAGATTGAAAATGCAAACACTCTGAATACTCTGAACAATGGCTCTCACAAACTGGGCTGAACCCAGAAATGGCTGCAGAAATGCGAAAACCTCACATGAGATCACATGAGATCATATGAGACAACACTGTCTCATATAAGGCTAAAATACCTTCATATGAGGCAAAAATACCCTCATATGAGATAACCCACCCTCACATGAGATCACATGAGATGACATGAGATGACATGAGATCACATGAGATTCAGTCATTTTAAAAATGTTTGAGCCGTTGGACAGGGCCCAAATGCAATTTGTTCTTGCCTGGAACACACACAAATTTGGAACAGAACTTCTCCTGGTTTGGTTGGAGCCCTTGGGCCCCAATTCCCCCCCCCCCCCCCGGCACAGCACTTTTTTTCCAGGAAGAAACTGCATCCAGCTTGTTCAGGATTTTCTCCTCTTCTGGGAATCTTTCTTCCCCTTTGGATCCTGGGAATCTTTTTTCCCCTTGTCCTTCCTAGGCGCTCTCTTAGGCTCAGGTACTGCAAGCCCACCATCTCCACCACCAGCTGCAGCTCCACCACCAGCTGCAGGAACATCAGCAGGGCTACCATGCCCATCTGCACCATCTGCAGGAGCTGGGCTGGCTGCATCAGTTTGACCATCACTTGGGGCAGCAAGATTTGAAGGAGGTGTAGCATGTCCACTGGGTGCTGCTCCTCC